ACAAGATGTATAAAGCAAGCTCCTAAAAAGTAGAGAGCAAAAACTAAATTGCACTAAAGAAGATAAACAAACGATGAAATTCTGATGTTAAGCCTTTGAATTTCTAAAACCAACTTTAATAAACCAATTCACAAAAAACAGAAAGACATGACCACAAGCGAGAAAAATCCTGGAATACTAGAAGATATGATTCATGTATTACCCGACTTAGACAGTGAAAAAGGTAGAAGAACGGATGAATCCTGATTTGGAGAAGAGTACATCACGATCTAGGGCATCTCCAACCCGCCCGTCTCTGGCTAGAAGGTATCGACGGTGACGCAGTGTGAAGGGGAATGTTTTGCAGATAGGCAGTGTCTATAGGGCTTCGGCTTTGGTTCTACGCTGGCAACTTTGGGCTTCAGCTTCTTATTGGCCCAAGTTCTTTTTGGCGCTCTTTTTTTCCATTAAATATTCATAGTGTTACATTAGCTTCAATTAAAGGTAACAATTATCAAGAGAATGTAACACTCTACCTAGCACGACAGAAGTGTTACATTATGCTAGTACCTAATGTAACGATACATTTAGAACCATTACAATAGGTTGGTTTATTGTAACACTTAAAACAAATGTTACAATTTTACTGTTACCTTAGGTCTTAAAATGTAGTAGTGAGTGTGCCTGTGTCAGCAAGTAGGCGAGTAGTAGTATCCATGGGTGTGACAGTAGGTTTGCAAGCTAAGAGTCCAACATCATTGAGGATCTCCAAAGCATATTTTCTTTGGTTGAGAAATATGCCAGAAGAGGAGCGTGCAACCTCAATTCCTAAAAAATACTTTAATGGTCCAAGGTCCTTAAGGTGAAAATTGCATGCTAGGTACCATTTGATTATAGGGATGAGGAGCTCGTCGTCACCTGTTATGACAATATCATCTACATACACAAGCAATATTGTTAAATGTTGTTTTCTTTTATAAATAAACATAGAGTAATCAGCTTTAGATTGAGTAAATCCGGCGTGTAATAAAGAATTAGAAAAAGTGGAAAACCAGGTTCGGGATGCTTGTTTAAGTCCATATATGGATTTATGAAGGCGACAAACACGATGCTCCCCCTTTTGGCGAAAACCGGATGGTAGTTGCATGTATACTTCCTCGTCTAAGTGACCATGGAGAAATGCATTGGAGACGTCAAGTTGGTGGGTGGACCAGCCTTTGGCAGCCGCAATACTGAGGACGGTGCGAACCGTGGTCAATTTAGTTACTGGGGCGAAAACGTCAGTGTAATCAAAACCTTCTAATTGAGAATAGCCTTTAGCAACAAGACGGGCTTTGTAACGTTCAATAGTGCCATCGGGTTTATATTTTATGCGATAAACCCATTTGCAACCAATGGCATGTTTGCCGACGGGTAATGGTTGAAGGGACCAAGTATTATTTGCTTGTAAAGCGGAAATTTCAGTTTGCATGGCTTGAATCCAAAGAGGGTCTTTGCATGCCATGGTGTAGGAGGTGGGTTCCACATGTTGGATGAGATTGTTGATATATCGAACGTGACCTGCAGAATAGGGGGTGGAAAAAATAAAATTAGTTAAAGGATATAAAGGGGAGTGAGTGTGGGCTGCATGGCATTGATAATCGCCGAGGTAATGGGGCAACTTGGTTTGGCGGGTACTGCGTCGAGGTGGGGGATAGATAGCTGCTGTATTTTCGTAGTTTTGTGAAGGTACGGGTGTGCATGCATCTAGCTGGATGGGAAAATTCAAATTATTTGGATCCATTATTTTTGGAGCGGTGGTGGTGAGATTATTTTGGGTGGTTTTTGATTGTGGGGCTACTGACAGTGGGTTGTGCAGTGGCAATTTACTTGTGGAGGGTGGTGAAAGGGAGGTAGTCTCGTGAGTGGGAGTAGGTCCCAAAATATCTGGGGTAAAAAATTGTTTTTGTGGGGTTTTGGAAGAAATGGGTGTCCTGGGATAAGGTTGAGTGTCAGGGAGAAAATGAGTGTCCAGAAAGACTGCCAGACTGTCTCCTGGTGGGGAATGGGCAAAGGTAAAATATGGGGTGAAATGGTAGCATCGACGTTAGGCAAATGTTGGAAAGGAAATATTTCTTCATAAAAAATAACATCACGGCTAACAAAATAAGATTTATCAGTGAGATCATATAGACGATATGCCTTTTGCCCTTGCGGGTATCCTAAAAATATACACTTTCTTGCTCGAGGTGCAAATTTGTGGGAACGTTGATAGCCGGTCGATGCAAAACATAAACAACCGAATGTACGTAAGGATTTAAAATTAGGAGGTTGTTGATGTAGTATTTCAAAAGGTGTTTTATTTTTCAAAATACGTGATGGAGTTCTATTTATTAGATAAGTGGCGGTGAGAATACAATCGCCCCAAAATGATAGTGGAAGGCCCGCTTGGAAGCGTAAGGCGCGTGCCATATTGAGAAGATGGCGATGCTTACGCTCAACTACCCCATTTTGTTGTGGAGTACTGGGACAACTTGTTTGATGAAGGATGCCATTTTCATGAAGAACCTTTTGAAAAATATGATTAGTAAATTTTGTTCCATTATCGGATCGTATGATTTTGACACAAGTGTGAAATTGGTTTTTAATGTAAGCCAAAAAATGGACAACTAATGAAAAAAACATCAGTTTTAAATTTCATCAAATAAGTCCATGTAATGCGGGGAAAATCGTCAACAATGGTTAAAAAATAATAGTGACCATTATTTGTGGGATTTTTGCATTTTCCCCAAACATCAATATGAATTAAATCAAAACACTGTTTAGTAAAAGTGCTACGAATGGGAAAAGGCAATCTAGTTTGTTTAGATAAATGGCAAATATCACATAAATGTAATTTATTTGAACAACCAAGAACAGGGGACAATAATTTAAAAACATCAGGGGACGGATGGCCAAGCCTGGCGTGCCAAGTGGTAGGGGATGCAGCTAAAAGTGTGGTGGATGCAGGTGCAAGTGTAAGAAAATAAAGTCCATGTTTTCTAAGGCCCCGACCAATCTCCTCCTTCGTCGAAAGGTCCTGAAAAATACAATAGTTAGGATAAAAAATAACCCTACAATTTAAACCATTAGACAATTTTGTAACTGAAAGTAAATTATAGTGAAATGAGGGAACATATAAAGCATTAGATAAAGTAAGTTTGGGAGATAAATAAATAGTTCCAATGCCATGAATGGGGGCTACTGAGCCATCAGGGATGGATATAGTGCGCTTATCCATAAGTGTGGTGGGAGGAGCAGAAAAAATGTTAGGATTAAAAGAGACATGATCTGTGGCACCCGTATCAATAATCCACTCTTGAGAAATTTGTAAAAATGAGGCAAGAGTAAGTGACGTACCGGCAAGATTGGCCTTAGGTTCGTTTACCTCTCGAAGAAGACGAAGAAGTTGTTGAATGGAATCCGAGGAGGTCGAATTGGCGGTATTCACTGTGGTGGCTTTCGGAGCACCATGAGTATTGCCCTTTTTGTAGTATTTATGACCCGGCGGATATCCATGCAATCGGTAGCATACTTGTTGAGTATGCCCAGGAATGCCACAATGCGTGCAACGAGGCCTATTGGAGTTTGGGCGAGACTGATTGCGTGAGATGGCACTTGCATGAGCATGATATGATTTTCCGGTCGGGCTAGCCGGTGTAGCTAGAAGGGCAGATGTGGTCTCAGTTTGATAAGACTCACTGTGGAGACGTTGGGCTTCATCTTGAAGAAGTAAGTTATAGGCTTGGTGGACAGGAGGAAGGATGGTGGTGAGTAAAAGTTGGCTACGTGATGCCGCAAATGTGTCACGGAGACCCATAAGAAATTGCATGAGACGGCGGCGGTCAAGTTGGGCGGCGTATTGAGTGCGAGCGTCACAACTCACAAGTGCACTTAGGGGGTGGATCAATAAGAGTTAATTCACTCCAAAGACATTGAAGCTTATTATGATAAACGGCAATGGAGTCATCATTAGGGGTGGACCGGTTCCGGTTCGGGCCCGGTTCGGGCCTGGGCCCGGTTCGGGCCTGGGCCCGGTTCGGGCCTGGGCCCGGCCGGGCCTCGGTTCAGAAAAAGGAGGCCCGAGCCCGAACCGGTGGTGGGCGGTTCCGGTTCCGGTTCCGGGCCAGAACCGGGCCGGGCCGGGCCGGGCCACCCGGAATGTTTTTTTTTTTTCTTCTTCTTCTCTTATTTAACCCCCTACCCCTCCCCCTCCACCCCAAACCACCCCAAACCACCTCAAATGGCCCAAAATACCTAATCCAACCCAAAACTTAAAAAAATTTCAAAAAAAAAAAAAAAAAATTAAATTCCGGCCCGAACCGGGCCCGGCCCGGCCGGGCCGGTTCACTAAACTGGAGGCCCGGGCCCGGACCGGTATACCACCGGGCCTGGAGGCCCGAACCGGAACCGAACCGGTTGACCGGGCCGGTCCGGGCCCGCACAGTAGCGGGCCGGTCCGGTTCCGGGCCGGTTGGCCCGGCCCGAGTCCATCCCTAGTCATCACGTTGAGTAAGAGTAGATATTTGGCATTCAAGGTCGTAAATCCGAGGGCCGCTAGAGGTGGAGAAACGAGCCTTGAGGTCCGACCATACGGTGGCGGCATCAGGAGCGTAAAGGACGGTGTGGGCAAGGTTGACATGGATAGAGTGAAGGATCCATGACATGACCAAGTTGTTAACGCGGTGCCAACGGTCATGGTTAGGGTCATCCGGAGTGGGCATGGGAAGAGAGCCATCAACAAAGGAAAACTTGTTGCGACCTCGGAGAGCCATAACCATGGCAAGAGACCAAGCGTTGTAATCATCCAGGCCGGTGAGGAGGTGGCCGACCAAGGCGGCGCCGGTGCTATCAGAAGGGTGGATGAAGTAGGGACAATCAGTATCATGAAAGGAGGGGTGGGAGTGGATGTGTGTGGAGGTAGAGCTTATGGCCGTAGTTTTGTGGAGGCCTGGGGAGTTTGTGCCATCATCATCATCTGATACCATATTATTTGTGGAGTTTATTGACCAAGGAGAGAGAAATATAAAGATGACAAAGTGCAGACTCTCACACCTATACGTGAGTAGTATGCATGTGTATATATAGTTACATTCCAACGGCTATTAAGTAGGAGCAGTAAATAATAATTCACATACAATGAATCTAGTCTATGGAAAGAATATAAAGACAAAATACAAAGTAGGGTAAATAAATAATTCAATTTTGAATTCTTCAGCAACGTTTTCAAAAACACAAATTGGTATAATTGAGTGGCTGCCATTCTTACTAGGACCTAGATTCAGGATGTGTCCATGCCTCCCGCTGGTGTTCCATTGTGATCAACATCATCATCACCACCATCATCTATTACCTCCACCACTGGAGCATACTGCAACAGTTGAATATTATACAGATTTTGTATTAGAAAAATTGATAGATAGAAAGGTAGGTAGTGTATTGTTTATATAGTTTCACACACCTCGTCATCTTCAAAATTTAATTCAGTAGCTGCACTGTTTTGTTCAAAGTCCCAACCAATAGAGTTCATGAGCAGATCTTTCAGCTTCCTAGTCTGTTGTAACAAGCACTCAGTTTGATGTTAATCAACATTTGAAGTACACTCAACAGGATATTATCATATTAGTATATTAAATTTATAAACCAACATGAAAATGCAACCTTTCTCAAACAGCCAATCCAGTGGAAGCACAATAAACTAATAATGGAGAACAAGACGGAGGGGATCATTGGAACTAATTGAGTGTGCCTGTGGACAGCATAATCCCCATGTTCCCAAATGGTGTTCATTAAGCAAACCCCAAAAGTAAAATTCCTAGGTTTGCCTCCAATACTTCAAAATATTTCTTGACACTCTTTAATATAGAAATTAGTGATACATTTGTTAATTTATAGCAATAATCATTACCACCTTAAAACCAACAACTTTTCCTTAATGGATGGTAATTTGAGAGCTGAGGGAGTACATGGCTAAAGAGTAACAACAAGGTCGAAAGTCATACCCATGACAGGAGGTCACCATCGATCACAGGGGCCTCAAGAAGCAATGAGAAGAACTCCTGAAAGAATATCATTAGTCAAAGATACTTCAAAACCTTATTTGGAGCATGCAAGTAATGAAGTAATATTACATAAAGATCTTTGCATGTATTGACTAATTCTAGACATGAGGCTCAAGGCCTCATATTAGCAGGTCAGACCAATTGATAGAGCGTAAAGATGAAAGCAAATAATCAAGAAATAAAATGTTTTTCAAAACTGAAATTAAAATGAAGAAACAAACTCTTGTAGAAGGTATGAAGAAAAGAACATGAAATACCCGAAGGTATTCCTCCAGCAAGATTAACTTGCCCAACAGCCTTGAGCAGCCCAACTCTAAGAGTCCTAAATTCTCCTAATCTCATAATGCCCCCTTGCTAAAGAAATCCTTATCTATAATCTTTCACAAAATTTAAATACGGTAATAAATATATAACTATTACATCAACAATGCTAATAGCAATCCCCAAACTTATGTGGATTGGATTCTTGGTCAAGATCTATATCAAGATTTATACTATAAATTTCGTGCCATCAATCCCAATGTTTATATTAAGGTGGTGGAGGTGGAGAGACTAGCCCTTTTCCTTTTCTCCAAGTCAGAAAGATATTGGCATTTTGCATAGTTGTCGATGGCGAGGAATGGCGTGTGCGCCATATGGCGAGAAAATCACCCTGCGTCACGGAAAGTCCTCATGGCGACGACCATACACGGGCAGCGCCACATTTGCATCATGGCCATCGCCATGACAATTGCGCCATCGTATTTAACAAATCTGAACCATTTTTGATAAGTAACGGAGGAATCCCAGTAGATAAAAGCAGTGTATTAATGAAGATTAAAGGTTGGAATACAGAAAATTACGAAAGAAAAGGTTTGAGACTCTTCGAGTGGTCTCTCACTCCCAGTTCCGATCCCAGTTCCCAAGTTTTGCCTGCGTTATTCTTTCCCCTACCCCCCTTTTATAATAAACCTCACTAAAAGGGCCAGCCCTCACTTAAGTTATTGGGCCTAGAACCCTATTGTTGGAAAACATTAAAATACTTAATAAGACTCTAATTATTTGTAGTGCCCGATCCCTAACATCACTCCCCCCCTGAACTTCCACCTTGTCCTCAAGGTGGATGATAAGAGATTGATTTTCCATTGGGTTTCAGCAGGTTTTCAGCTTCATCCCGTTCATATATCTGATCTTCTGTTCCCTTCTCTTCTTCTGGCTCTTCCATCATGATAAATTGAAAATTTTTCATTCCACATACATGCTCTTTGCCCCATTTGTTTCCACATTTGAAGCATAGGCCCTTCTTGCTTCTTTCTTCTAAGTCCGCTTGTGTCAACCTTTGGCCACTCTCCCATGTCTTATTTGGTTTTGGCGATTCCTCAAGTTTGTTCTCTGAGAGTGTTCTCTCCGGAGCAGTTGTTCTTCCTTTTGTTGCTTCCACCCACTTCCAGGCTCTGACAATTTTTCCTCCCTGGTTCTTCAAGCCTTTGTTGTCTTCTTCTTTATTTGTTTCTCCTGTCCATACCTTGTTCTTCTGTTCAACTAGCTGGGCTGTGTCCATAAGATCAGTTAATCCAGTGGTCCGGTGCAACTTCAGCTCTGAGCTAATTTCTTCTTTGAGGCCATTAAAAAATACTCCTTGTAGCATCTCTGGGTCAGCAATCTTGAGGGGAGCTACAACCCTGTGGAAACCCTAATAGTATTGGGCTTAACCCATTTGTATATCTTGTATAGGAAACCCTAGTACTCTAAATATAGCTATAAATATAGCTTCTTGTATAGCATTTTGATATCAAGTATATGAAATACAACAATACTTGTTCACAAACCCTTTCGAAATGATCCCTGTATTCCATGACTGAATTTGTTTGCTTAATTTTGAGCATAGGGCCAAACGGGTTTTGAACTAATTCCGGCTGGAAGCGTCTGATCAAAGCTTCCTTAAAATTACCCCAGGAGTGGTCATCAGTCTGTTCATCCCACCATTGATACCAGTTCAGAGCCCTTTCGGTCATGGCTATCAGGACAACTTCCACTTTGTCACCCTCTGATACATGATTTAATTTAAGATAGCGTTCAACCCTGAGAAGCCAACCGTAAGCATCGTTCCCGCTAAACAGCGGTAAATCCACTTTTCTTCCAATATAAACCCAATCGTTAATTCTCGTATGCTCAGGAGTACACGAAACGGATTGAGAATCATGAGGGTAACCTCCTGAATTGGACGAACTCATGCTGGCAGAAGTGTGGCGCCGACGAGGTGTGGCCGATCGTCCTCTTCTTCTACGGTGACTGCCCTGGACTTCGAAACTTTGCATCTTTTCCAGCAACAACTGTACTTTCTCGTCCAACAAAGCTCTCATCTCTGTTCAGATCTCTTCCCTGGAAAGCTCCAATGATCGCTCCAAACTTTCAAGCCTCTGTTCCATGTTTGACCGAGTGAATACCATACACAGGTACAGTGATCGATGCTTTGATACCAATGATAAGTAACGGAGGAATCCCAGTAGATAAAAGCAGTGTATTAATGAAGATTAAAGGTTGGAATACAGAAAATTACGAAAGAAAAGGTTTGAGACTCTTCGAGTGGTCTCTCACTCCCAGTTCCGATCCCAGTTCCCAAGTTCTGCCTGCGTTATTCTTTCGCCTACCCCCCTTTTATAATAAACCTCACTAAAAGGGCTAGCCCTCACTTAAGTTATTGAGCCTAGAACCCTATTATTGGAAAACATTAAATTAAAATACTTAATAAGACTTTAATTATTTGAAGTGCCCGATCCCTAACAATTTTACATTGAAACTTTTGAGCATTTGGCCCTGATAAATACTTAAAGCATCTGCCAGGCCATAATATTAATGAAACCCTAATAACAAATTAATTTGTTAGCCCATTATATTAACAAAAACCCTAATCAAGAGTAAATAAAGATACAAGTAACACTTAAGGTCACACAAAGCTACTGAAGTAACCATAAAAGCTGGAGTCTGAGCTGCGCAACAAGGAATATAGAAAGGGGCGAGCCAGGAATATATGCTTTTTTCTCTAGGAAGAAGGAAAAAATGTTGTCCTTTTCATTCTCAATAAATTTGTAGAACCGACAAACGGAGACTTTTTTCCCTAACTGACAATTTGTAGGACAACTTGTTATATCTTTAGTACTTTCTGCTTTTCTCCCAGAAATATATGAAAATCTCCCGATAGCGTATATGTTTTTCTGAAAACCGACAAAAAACAAGTTAACATATTTTGAAAGACATGAAACTTTTTTTTGAATATTACTCCCTCATGTTAGAAACCTCACCAGTACAGAACAATTACAGTAGATTAACAAGAAAATCAAACTGAACTTTATTAAGAAGATGAACAGTACAGTAACCAAGGCCGCAGCCTCCCAAAAGAGAAGAGAAAACAATTCTCTAATCTTTCCCAGTCCCAGACCAAAGTCCCAAAAGCATCCTTACTAACTCCCCTTTCACCTCTATTTATACTACAATACTCAGACCCTTATTACTAATATTATTATTATTACTTCTAATTATTAGTATAATAGGTAGGTCCCTATCAATACTCCCTCCCTAAACATCCCACCTTGCCCTCAAGGTGGGGAGATAGGAACCAAGCTTGGAATTCAGCTTCCTCCTTGCGCCTCTCCCTTCCCAATATCTAGCTGGTGGTGGTGTCATACTTTTCCATACTTCTAGTCCTCTAGATAAAAAACTCCTGACCAGCCTCAGCTTAGCATTTGCTTCTGACTTCACCCTATCTCTTGATTGAAACTTCACACTGAATATCTCATGCAGAACTTCATTCACGCACATGTCAGAAGAAAGTTTAAGAAAACTTGAATCATAATGTCTTTCTCTTTCTGAATTTAAGACTTCAACAATCTCCAATGGTACTCCCCCATCATGAAACAGAAGTAGCATTTGTCCCATTACACTGCATAGCCAGATGTCTTCTTTAAGAACATGCTTATTTTCCTTGAGTAATACACCTAGCAGCTGAAATGCAGGAATATCCAATGCAAATTTAAAGGGAGTAACAATTTCCAAAGGACCATAAGTCCACAAACCAGGGCTGTTCTGTTCCAAATAACTTCCTGACACTTCAGAGGATCTTGCCAGAAAATGGACCTGACTACCATAGATTATTTAAAAAAAATTGGTGCAACAACTTCACCTAGAGCTTGCTGATAATTCTTAAGAGCCATCTTCTGTAATACTCTTGTGAAGAAGTCAAAAACATCAGGAAGTGATAGGTTAAGAACAGTCTTTGCAGTGATGTCTCCCATTTTTAGATATCCTTCTAATGCTTTCAATGGATTATGTAAGCCAAGCTTGTGGTAGTTTATCATGCTATCAACAATAGGCTGCAATTCTGCTTCGTTTACTCCTGATAAGTCTTTAACAATTATTGTTGCGAGTTGCAGGGAACTCCTGTCAAAGTGCTGGAAATGGTTAGACTTGTCATCCTCATAAATCGGTTTACGGTTTCCAAACATAATAGCAAATTCTTCTAACAAAAGATCCACATGATCCTCCTGAGCCTCTAGACCAGATTTCCTTTCACCAATGCCTGAATATTCTGAAAACATTTCCCTTGGTTGTCTAGGTTCTTGACTTTTGATCAGAATAGCTTTATCATCTGAAACGTTCTTGATTTTAATTGCTCCAATTTCATAAGCAATTAAGACTCTACTTCCAAAGGAACATGGATGGATAAGCAGGTCAGCAGTAGAAACTCGACTGGGAATTAAATCCATATCAATTGCAAGATTAGGAGAAGCATAATCTGGCGTTTGTTTAACCTGCAGATCCGTTTCCAACTTTAAGACACCTACAACTATAGTTTGCTCCTCGATTTTGTCCTCCTTATTCGTTTTCTTGATTCCAGATTCAATTGGCTCTCTCTCAATCTCCTTTATGGACGGGAGAATTTCTTGCGCAGGGCCAAAACCATCTTGCGATAAAACTGGCGAGCACAGAGAAACGACTTGAGAAGAGGAAGCGGAATAGTGAAAATCGACTAGTGACTTTCTTGGACACGAACTGAGGTCCGGAGAGGAATTCTGCGAATGGCAAGAAACAGTTCGCGCTTTCGTCTGCGATTCAGTTTGCGAACTAGTGAGTGTTGGCGACGAACTTATTTGGTTATATAACATAGGATGCCTAATCTTCCTCGATCGGTCTCCAGTTCCTCTGCGAAGCCTAGGCTCTTCCGATCTCTCTGAACTAGCTAAGTGTCACATGTGTCAACGATGAGAATTGTGATGTGAAGGTGAATAGTCAAAATTCTCTCCCGATTCCTCTGGACTAATTGACTTTCGTGAATGACGATGTGAAGTATGATGCGATCGACTCTTCGAACGATCTGGAGATCTGTTTCGCAAATCTGTGATGCTAGCTTGCATCGTCGCTTGCATCGCCGCTTGCATCGAGGCCAAACTATCCGCCAGTTTCTCCGCCATATTTGTCTGTAACTCCCGCAGACTTCTATCCATACTCGCTTGCATCTCCTTGTATACCTCTCTGACATCTTCTTAGTCTGTCGATTCAGTTTGTCCAACCCTTCTTCCATTTGCTGTGTCATATAGAATTCCTCCATCGTTCCGTTGATTCAGGTTCTCTGTCTCCAGGAAGAGACGTGGCTCTGATACCAATGTTAGAAACCTCACCAGTACAGAACAATTACAGTAGATTAACAAGAAAATCAAACTGAACTTTATTAAGAAGATTAACAGTACAGTAACCAAGGCCGAAGCCTCCCAAAAGAGAAGAGAAAACAATTCTCTAATCTTTCCCAGTCCCAGACCAAAGTCCCAAAAGCCTCCTTACTAACTCCCCTTTCACCTCTATTTATACTACAATACTCAGACCCTTTACCCTTATTACTAATATTATTATTATTACTTCTAATTATTAGTATAATAGGTAGGTCCCTATCACCTCCGTATTTAAAAGTTCCCTACACTTTCCATTTTGGGCTGTATTTAAAAGTTCCCTACACTTTCCCTTTTTGGTAAGTTTTTCCTTAAAAAATACCCAACTACCCTTACTTTTTCTACTTTTTATCCTCTCTTTCCTACTTTATCACCCCCTCTCCTACTTTTTCTATACTATTCATTACCCCTACTATTATTATATCCTAAAATATTGTGCCCAAAGCTAGTGCAGAGATCATTTAAATACAGAGGGAGTATGTTTTTTGAAACTACTTTAAACTATTTTAACTTCAATGTTGGTATTCAACTTTTCTTATCATGTTTTTGTGGTTGGGTGATAGAATTATAGTATCTACAGTTCATGTTTTTAGTTTATTTGTCATGTGGCGACGCCATATTTGTCATTTAGCATTTTTTTTTTCATACTGATACAAGCACAAATAGGACTTGTGATTTGTGATGGTATACTAAATCCAGGTAGATTACCTTGCAAAGGATGTGTAAGAAGCTGTCATCAGATAACCAAGACTCTTCCAACAATGCCATGGCCCCTTCCTCAGAAACATCAGCATTTTTACTGTCTTTTTGAAGCCCAAATTTCAACTGATGGTATATTACTCGGACAAACTGTTCATTTAGAAAGATTCTAGTTTTTAGAAGGGAAGTGTCATTAAATCAAATACTTTTTTATAACAAATCCACTCTTCATAAACAAACAATTAAAGGTCAAGCAGTAACTCAGGTTAGTAATGAATGAACCAACTATGGGTACAAGACATAGATGAACTTAAATTCCTACCTTGGTGAATAGACGACTACTTGTGTGAAGAGGCTGCAAGGAATACAAGATTCACATCAAAAGCTTAAATTGACAGAAAATAAATACAATTATCAAGCAAAATGCTTCTAAGGAATTATACTCAATATTAAAGACATGGGGTGACTAGACATAAACGTAGAATTTGGCAATAATTTCAGTACTCACAGCTTCAACACATCCAAGAAAAAGGCTGGTGATAAGTTTCCACTGTAAATATGCTTCAAGTGACTGTCCCATCTGCCGGTTAGCTCAAATTAATGCTCACAAGTCACAGTGGGAAATTCTAGAAACAGGGAAGAAGGGACATGGCAGCTTTAATCATACCAGAAATGCTACAAAGGAAAACTGCAATTCTCCCAAAAGTGAATCTTCATTTCCACCATACTCCTTTGCTAGAATGGTCTCCAACACATGCGTCTGCACAAATAGTATCCAAGAAAAATTGTCTCCATAAACAAAAGTTTGATGGCATATAAGTAAAATACAAAATAACAAGACAAATAAACACCTTGTCAAGGTTCATGCTTGTAAGTTCATGCCCGGACAACCCTTTGTGTTTTATAAGACGAGGAATTGATGTGAAGTAACACCCTTTTTGTTCAGACTTCTCAGCAGGCACTGTGTATGTACTACTTCTCAGCTGCTCAGCTAAAGCTTTTTCCATGGGTGTCCTTGGAATATTGCTTATGCTTTCTGGTTCAGATGATACTGTAATTTCTCCTCCAATAGGTTCTGGTATAAGAAAATAGCAGAAACCAGCAAAATTAGGCAATAAGAAAAATGAGCAGAGAATAAATAAGGCATACTGCTCACCTATCCGTTCAATGACAGCCTTTGTAATATAGTTAGATATATGTCTCCAATCTTCGTATTGGTTCAGCATGTAAGGGCCAAGTTGCCTGTCAAACTCTAATCTCCTCACAGCTTCAGTATACCTCTCTTCCTTCAAAAAACAAAAACAATAGTTATAAATCCTCAAAATTGATGAACTTTGAGGAGGGGTTGGGGTTTATAAATTTTCGCAGAGTTCTAATTCTACCATTTCAATAATACGGAGTAATTGTTAATGAGAGTTGCAGATTTCTAAATCATGCATAAAATGCTTCAAAGAGGTAGGAATGAAAATGGTCAAAAGAACTTACATCTTCTTCAGAAAACTTGACAAATCTCTCCTCTTGTTTATCCCATTTCCGAACAATTACCTGTCAACCCAGGATGGGATGGGTCAAGTTTGTACAATGAAGTATAACAATATAAGATTACAGATTAAAGAACGTGACACATTGTTGGTTACTGAAACAAAAATATTTATCTACAAGAATGGTGACAAATAAAAAAAAAAAGATTAAGTAGGGCAATGCCTAGGATGTTTTCAGTTGGACTACTTTCAATTTCACCCGACCAAACTAGACCAAATTTAGAAAAAAGTAAAATGAACATAAATCAGACCAATTTAGAATTCAGATCATATCAACAAGATCAAACTTCATAAACCAAGTACTAAGACTAACATAAAAAGATTAAATCCCAAAATGCTTCTAACCTCTGAAGGATTCACAACTATGAAGAAGCCAATGATGGGTGAAAATGTGTTGCCTTCCCTGCATGAAGAAATCAGAAGAGTTGCCCAAGGAGTAAAGATGTTACAGACTTGGGATGTTTTCTTTTGGACTAAAATTTGCTGGTCTGGTATGGTCTGATCTTGTCTGGTAAACGTCTGGTATTTGTGTATTTTATAACTACAAAAGTCTGGTCTGGTCTGGTCTGATCTGATCTAGCTGGGACTGAAAACAGTCCAAAAGAAAACATCCTTACCACTATCCCTGATAACAAATTACATATAAGTAACAATAATTTTAAAGAGTACAACCAGTGGGTCTAGGTGTAACTTGGGGGAAACTAGTAAGCTACACTCAGTACTGGGTTTGAAATCCACCACACTGACCCCAATATCTTTTGGGACTAAGGCTTGGATGTTGTTGTTGTTGTTTTCACTATGGGTCATTCGGAAACAGTCTCTCGGTACTTTAGTACAGGGGTAAGGTTGCGTGCATCCGACCTCCCCTTACCCCGGTAATGATGATGATGATGATGAGGTAGTATAAGAAGATGGGCGCAAACAGCAATGGCATGTATTGATATGGAATTTCTAAAATATGTACTCTGTATAAACAAGGCAAAGGATAGTGAACATTATTTGGTATATAAGTATATAACCATTTTTTTAAACCCGGATATAAGTATATAACCATATAAGCATATATTCATCCCCAGTACTGCACCCATATTTAGAGTAAATGCAACTCAACATACCAAACAGTTCACTCAATAGTACACAGTGTTGTCAATCCTGGATAGCGGGCATAGCGGCCAACACCGAAAACGCTATAGTTGTATAGCGTATAGCGGGATTACCGCTACTTGGACAATACATATGCAAAATACATATTATATGTATGCATATAATTACATGTCATGCACATATCAAATCCAAGAAATGATAAATCACAATTATATTACTCTGTTTACTCGAAATCTAAAACATCAGGAATTTTGTACTTACTAAATTACCAATAAAAAGGCATTAGTGTCTTAAACAAAATAAGCAAACAAGTTAAGTAACTTACCTCTGGACATCATAAATTAAAAATTAAGCTCCTGATAATTCTTGATAGATTAGCTATCATCAATAGCTCATTTATAAGAAAATCATGGTTGCTGGGATCCCTTTAACTACCTTAACTGGAGATGTACGGTGTAGGTTATGTTTTATCTTGGAGTCTGTTTTGAGTTATCGACTTATCGTAGTAGGGTTTAGTAGGGTTATTCTGTCCCCCCATGAGTTTCAGAGGGTGTAGTGAGGTTATTTTTTACTCTAAAAACCTTTAAAAGTAAACAAATGATCCCAAATCCCCTCAAAACTAACAGTGAAGTACCCCGTAAACTATAGCGGCGCCATAGCGCCTGCTACAGCCGCTATTCTTCCCGCTATAGCACCTGCTACTGGCGCTATTGACAACCGCTCCGGTAAGGCAATCTGCTACTCCGCTATAGTGCGCTATTGGAATCAGTGATCCGTACAACTCACTACCAACAAAGGTATTGCAACACAACACCAGAGATAAACAGATCCAGTTTTGTGGGAAATTAAGGAAATGCCACTAGCCCACTATTATGCAACGCAATTTTATTTTCCAGATTCGTCCCTTTTGCCCAAGCTTTGTACAAACGAAAATTGTAAAAATGTATGCACTACAAAACTAAATGCATGTCCTTTAAATGTAAAAAGAGAGTTTGCACTTTGCAGAGTTGGTTTTGACAGAAAAAGAGAAAAAATGATAAATAAGGACTAATATAGCACATTTCCTCATATAGGACTACAATTGTTTGCTAAAATAAGATTCATTCACTGTTAACATAAAGAAGTTTTAATAACTTTTATTCTTTTATTAGGACCAAATGAGTCATAATTTTAGGAAAAAAGGAAGAATACTCCTATTAACTTCAGTCATGTTTTACTCAAAGTATTTGCCGGAACTGCTTTAAAAGGTTAAGAGACCAAACCTGTTGGATGAGCTATAATAGACAAAATGAACTCCAGGAGGAATCATTTTGATTCCCTTGAAATTAGGCCCCGAAGAATACATCTACAAGCACCAACAAATTCACAGCGAAAACTCATATGAAATTCATGAAAAACAAAGACATTTATTTAAGCTATCTGGAACTTACTTGGGTGTCGATGCCTATGAGTGTGAACTGAGGAACGTCGAGGAAAAGTAGAGTAGCGCCATGTTTCACCAACTGTAGAGCCTCCTCTGAATCCATCTTTCTTCTCAATTAGCTCAAAGCTTCTCATTTTCTTCCTCCTTTCCGAAACTTCTATTCAGAGCCGTCTTTAGCATTTTAGACCACAGTAGTCAAACTTTAGATCCTATATAGGAACGAAGAAGAACTAAAGATCGTAAATCGTAAGATCGTGACTTGGATCGTAAGATCCTACATGTTCATACATGCATACACACACATGCATACGTGTGTGAACTGTGAAGATTCGATTTGACTTTAAACCAGTGGATACCTACCTTGGATCCAAATGAGAAAAAAGAAAGAGAATACAAAGGCTTCTGCAGAAGTTAAATAGAGATAACTGATTTGGAGATAAGGGGGATAGGTAGAGGGAATTCAAGGAACCACTAAACCCCATATCTTCTTAATTGCAATGGAAGTTGATTCAATCTTTTAATAAAATCACTCAAATACTAAAAAGGTAAACAGATTGAGCCGGATATATATATATAATTTGATAAAGTGAAAAGATTGAGCCAGATGTATTATTTATATAGTATACTGTGTATATTTCGTATTTTAATTTCATAAACACACATTTAGTTTTAATTTATACTCAGTACACTGAATCGCAAGAGGCCGTATGAATCGTATAATCGTATGATTCTACGGCCCGGATCACAATTTTAACTGTCATAATTTTGGGGGCCCTAGAGAGAAAAACACTCATAATGTAATTTCTAGCTAAATGAATGTGATTTCTAGCTATGCCATAATTTTAAGGCATATGAATGTGATTTCCAGCTATGCCAACAGCCATTAAAAATAAGATAAATTGAATAAAAACATGCCGTATGAGAAACAAAGTAAGCATATACAAAATGCACCATATAATGTAAATGTCGAAAAATAAGATTTTACATGTAAACATGTACGAAATACACCAAATCTCTTATCATATAATGTAAATGTCGAAAAATAAGATTTTACATGTAAACATATACAAAATACACCAAATCTCTTATCAAGTTATTCTTTCTCTTCTCTTTATAAATCTTGATTCAAGTTTTTTTTGCTCCTCATGACAATACCAAATCACAAAGAAATCAACCAACAAAAAACCAAAAAATTGACAAATACAATTTTTTATAACAATCACAAATCAAGCTAAGTAAAAATTTATTTCAATATTTCAACTACTGACAATATACCAAACTACATAAATTTAACAATGGAACTCCCCAATAAGCAATATGTCAATATTAACTCAATTATTATGAATAAATTATAATTTCATTAATCGCAAGCTTAATTTTAGTTTTATTTAGGAATTTTATCAAGCCCGAATAATTGAAAACTATCAATCTAAGACCTAAAATACAATAGATTTTGATTTATTTAATTTTTTATTAATTACATTGCTATTTTTTGAAGATTTTTTCTTCACAAAAGTTTATAACTTAATAAGATTAAATAATATTTAATTTTTTAAATTAAAAATACGTAGTATTAAAATGCTTGATATTTTAGGTCTAATTTATTTTATTTAATACTTCCTCCTTTTCTTTTTAGTTGCAACAATATCATTTTTTGGTTTACTAACGCACAACTTTCACCATCCACATATATAAATCTCTATATATAAATCTCTATTAGTGAAAAATTTAAGAGACGAATTCAACAATATTTTTCAAAAAACAAATTTTTCATTCATCAATAAATTCAATGTAATCAAAGTAGAGCTTACAAACAAAAATGTAGTCAAAGTAGAGTAGCATGTGAGTAGCTTAAAAGAAACATTTGGCAACTAAAAAGGAAGTAGTGTTCAAGGATTTACATTTTCATTCGAAACTTCCGGTATTCCTTCGGCAGTCCTTTTAGACAGGCAGAAGCAGCATGGAATGAGACAAAACACTTCGTAGTAAAGTAACTAAAGAGTAATAGGAGAACTAGAATCAGCCTATCAGGCCAGGTGGCGAACAACAGGAGGCGGTCTGCGGGCGGCAGTTCCGCGCTTTCCGGTCGCCGTCGCCGCGTTGGTTGGTACCCGGAGAAGGCGTCGATTGCAGGTGAGAAGCGGTTTACGGTCGTCGACAATTGAATTGACTTTGGGAGAATTGTAGAAGTGAATTGCCCCGATATCCGATCGATGGCTGCTTGCTGGACTAGTGAAGCTGTGGAGCCTTTTCCTACGTACTATTTTCAACTTTTTTTTCTTGCAAAGTTTTTGTCATTTTCCCTTTTCGTAAACTCTCTCTTTCATTTTTACTATTTTTATTTTATACAGAGTAACACCTAACAAAAAAAACAAGTAACACCCATCCTAACTTTCAGCCACATCATTTTTCTACCCCCACCCCTACTGCCCTGTACCCTTATCCCCACCCTACACCAGGGGCGGATCGTAGTACAGACTCAGGGGGCTACAGCCCTTCCAACAAAATTTATTTTTAGTGTATATATATACGAAAAATAATTTTCGCCCCATCGAAAAATAATTTTCACCCCCAAAAAGTATTTTGAACCCCCCAAGATGACTTTCTTGGGTCCGCCCCTGCCCTACACCCACCCCTTACTCCCCGGGGGTAGCGGGCATGAGGGGTCGGGGTAGGGTCGGAGTAGGGGGCGCTTGTAGGGGGTAGGGAGGGGTAATGGGGGATGAGTAAGGGTAAGGTCGGGTAGGGGTGGTAAGGGAACTAGGGATAGGGTGTGGTAAGGGTACGTGTACAGGTAGGGGTTGGCGTACGTACGGGTAAGATATAGGGGTGGGTCTGGGTAGGGTAGGATAGAGGTAGGGTTTAGGTTTAGGGGGATAGGGTAGGGGTAGCGTACAATAAGGGGTAAGGGTAAATACGGAAACTAAAAAAACTTAAACTAGTGTTTAATTAATACATGAGGTGGTATACTTAGTTAGCGGCACTTTAAGCATATGTTTGGGTTAGTAAGCAGCTTTTTAAATAATATATTCCACATGTTTTACTAACTTAACTGTGATTTTGGCAACGAAATAAACACGTCTTAGGTAATGTCGAATGAAATTGAGGTAACGGCCCAAGACAAATACATAGAGTTTTATTTAGTAATGTGCTTGTTCATTTTAGATAAATCTATATCTTGATAAATCTATATCTGGGAACTGTTTTTAGACAAACATTTATTATTAATCATTTTTCATATAATTTCCAATACACACTTTCTCTAAAGGTAGATGCCCTTACAAACACTCACTAATAGCAACCATTAAATAACTATTGGAATTGAAAAGGTAAGGTTGAATGGTCTACTCTCAAATAAAATTAAGATCTTGAAACTTGAAACTAATACTACATATTTGATATTAATGAATAAGAATCATATCATAACTTCATTTTTGGCCAAATAAAGTTGTCTGATCGGATTTTCATCAAACCGGCCAGATATGGACGTTGACTCAATAGTAGAATACCTTTTTGTATTTTCAATTCCAAATTGTCAATTCTATAAATATAATACCTAACATATGGATCTATTAAAACTAGCAGAGCGTTGCGTGATAGAGAGCCGGCCCTAGGAAAAACCCTTCAAGATCCGATTTTGGAAGATGAAGATATTTTATATGCAATGAAAGATCGAATCAAAAGTTTTTCTATGCTTTCGCTCTCTTTCAATTTCGGTTTTCAAGGAATTTGGTCCGGCTTCTTCATTGGTCGAGAATTTTGTTCGCTTCATGTGAGTGTGTGGTATGTTATTCTCCTAGCAATGTCTAGAGGTTGTGCGTTTCTAATCGGTGTTATCGATCTGGTGAAACTTTTTCAACCTTGTTGTTCTGATGTTTCAAATACTCGCCCACCACCTGAACCACCGCCTCACTCTGGGAAGAAGATGATGATCAAGCGGATCTCCTTTTCGGTGGCTGGTCAAACCGATGTTTCAAGAAATTCTTACTCGACTGATTTCCCTTTGTTGGTTGCTGGTCAAACCAATTCTCCCTTTCTGGTGGCTGGTGAAGCCGGATCTTTTAGCTATAATTTTTTAATTTCTCTTTGGAGTAGCATGAAGATCAGCAAGGCTGTTAAACTAGACTACATTATTGCGGGGTTAGCAATCTGGATGGATTCATTGAATCTGTTCCGTTCTATGTCTCATCCCATTGTATTTTTGCTATCGCTTAATAATAAATTAGTTATTTGATTTTCAAAAAAAAACGTATGGATCTATTGATCTAGATTTCCCTCACCCTATACATTTGAGTATGAATTTCTTACAAGATATCATTACTTTTAAAAAGTATTAGCACAAAGACGTGTCATGTACCATCTTGAACCGTTGTAACTAAACGAGTTTGGGACCACGATAGCTCTAATCACGAATCGTCCGGAGCCATACCCACTGCTAGGCACGTCAATGGTGCACTATGCAAAGGAGAAGAGCAAGATTTAGAAGTTTTCTTCCATGCCCTATGATGCCCCGCCCCTACCATCGCAGCGCCAAAAAGATAGAATGAATTGGTTCATTTTTCCGGTGGATGGTGAAGCTGGAATCAAGTTTAAAATGGTACATCAGTATTAGTGGCCTTCAAAAGTCAAAACCAAGAGCATTTTTTGGGGATAGTCAAGCTAGGGGAGGACTCGGGCCGGGCGGCCCGAACCGGAACCGGCCCGGCCCGGTCACTGTTTGAACCGGCCCGGCCCGGTGGCCTAGCCCATGGGCGGTTCGGGTCGACCCGGCCCGGTGGCTACCAGTTCCGGGCTTGGGCCTTCATTTTGGTGAACCGGCCCAGCCGGTTCAGGCCCGGTCCGGGCCGGATTTATTTTTTTTTTTTTTTGAATTTTTTTTAAGTTTTTGGGTTGGATTGGGTATTTTGTGCCATTTGAGGTGGTTTGGGGTGGTTTGGGGTTGAGGGGGAGGGTAGGGGCCTAGGGGGTTGATTAGGAAAACCCAAAACACAAAATTATATAGAACCGAACCGGGCCCGGCCCAGCCCGGCCCGAACCGGACCCGGGGGCTACCCGGGCCGGTTCCGGGCCTCCCCTACCTTGAACCGAGGCCCGGCCGGTTCAAGGCCCGAACCGGGCCCGGCCCGAACCGAGTCAAGCCGAGACAGATGTCATTTTACCTCTACGGATGACTAGTAAAATTGGATATTTTAGTGATTACTTTTGTCATAACAGAAACAATCAATTGGATCATTCGTTTCTATTTCTTGTCCAATTGAAACTTGTAAGTTTGAGGTATATGGTTGTCTTTGTTCTTGTTATTTTTATCCATAATTGATTTTAATTTTAAAAAACTTGGTAGAAATACATTATTTATTCAATCATACACGGAGTACTTGGTACGTTAGTTTGTACTGTAAGACTCGTAAATCAAGACAAGTTCCCTATCCTCCAAATTCCTCAACGAAACAAAATATGAATTCGTTTTGGAGTGTCACCATATTCGCTGACAACCATTGAATATGAATAACTTTATGCCTGATCAGGAGGTAAATGGGGATTAGAAGCACACTTAACTTAATCAACCACTAAAATGTGTGCAAATTTGAAACCAATCAAGAACAGCCCCAATTAATCCTCAACTACAAAGTACAAACAACCTAAAGTCTCATATGGAGCATTTATTGGCTAATGAACAACCGTTACTTGAGAGAACTACAGAATCAAGAAAATAGTACAAGTAGTAAATTGATAATATAGTTAAATAATTGACTAATTGTCAAAGTCAGAGACCAGCCTCTGGTTCTCATCGAGTACAGTTTATGTGGCTAGAGGTGGGTTCCCTTATAGGCTGCAGCCAAAGAAGCTTCATGTGTACTGCCAATAGAGTCATCTTGCTTCTCTTTGGAGACTTTTGAACTTATGTGATTCAGACCGTAATGAGCACAGAAAAGGAACTGACACCATTTTGCTATATCGTGCAAGTAAAAAATCGAGTCAGGGTAAAGAACATAACAGTAAGGCAACAACAGGAAGCAGAGGCAGAGAAATTAATCAATCATATCGCTTGGCCTTGTATTTGACTTTGGGGTTGCGAATGTCATCTTGACTCTGTACCAATCTAATTTCCAAACTGCTCGATTTGCAGTCATACCCCGCCCTTTGATAGTCTGCCAATGTCCTCGCAAGAAGTGCCTGGTTTACAGGAGTGGTAATGACAGGTAAGTTAAAGCACACATCACAGTATAATATTTTTAAAAATAGGGGGTTTGCATGTATACATCTATGTAATAAAAAACTTGTGTGTTACTATTACATGTAAATAAATAGCACATGTAAACCGCCTACTCTAGGTTCAAGGTGTCTCATCAAATGGACGTATACGAGCAATTAAATAATTTTTAACTACATAAAAGAAATACCTGCAAGCTTGATACTGCTAGTTCTGCTGCCTTGTCAAGGTCATCAGGGTATTTCTGAACATGGTTAAAAATATTATTTTGTAACAATGACGTTAAAGAAATTATCAGATGAAACATTATTTTTGGAAACATAGTTAAAATCATTATTCTGAGCAATCATTACATTACTCCATCCAAGTAACAATGACGTTGTAAGGTCTCCAGTTCCCTGCAATCATAATAAAGTGTACAAGAATTGAGCCCAGCCTGTATATAGAATAAAATGCACTTGCCGAATTGTAATTACCTACCTTCATGGATCAAATTTTCTATCAGAAGTGGAGATGTATAATTCTTTATGGGGAACAGAAAGTATGATATTCTTAAGTAAGTGAGATACATACAGTGAAATATGCAGGAATCTTGGGTATCACAATCTTGAATTGTTTAGGAGGTTGACCCTGTCATCGTGCAAGAGATTTTCTAAATGGTTCAAACAATAGGTCCCATAATCATTACTGTAAAAGAAAATAGAGGTGCACTGAAAGATATAGCTTTCATGATCTATACCCTAAACAAAGTAAATATTTATTTTCATTATTGTACTCCGTAAAATGATTTTGGGAGCGGCCTCTTGTCAAAATGACAAGACAAGACTTGCTCCTTATACACCTTTGTGGTGGAACCCTTCCCCAGACCTTCACCTTGTGGGGATGCCAATGTGCACCAGCCACCGGGCTGGCCTTTCTACTCCATAAAATGATTGTCCTTTATCAGTTTTGTTGAGGATGTCGTGTTATTTACCTTTTCTTTCCGGTGACTGCCAATGAGAAGAAGATTTCCATCTATGTTTATGCTAGTAATGACAACCTGAAAAATAGTTCCCATAAGTTTGTTGCACACAATGATCATTAACATTAAATAGTGACACCCAAAAGGGGGGAAATGAAGTCTTCCATAAATACAACTAAGAGAGAGGAGGGGCAATTCATGCTAAGAGTGAAAATAACAGAGCATGGAAAAGTTCAAGATTTAGTTATTTAATGGAACCTTTGATGGTCCAGCAGCATGAAGAATGTTACAAGCTTCCTGCCCATCTTGTTCAGATGTGATACTAAGTGAAACAAAAGCAATTTGAGTCATTACACTATTACATTCAGATGCAATTTAAACCCAAAAAGGAACAAAAAAGAGAAAATATGAAGTGCTCATAAGTCACTTGCTCCAATGGTGTATGACCAAAATATGTTGAATGGAAAAAGAAAAAAAATATGAATGGGTGGAAAAGGGAAAAACAAAACAAATAAACCTTTGTATAGTTAATGCTTTATAGTATGGTCCATTCACAGAAATAGATTAAGGCGAAACGAAAGAATATAATTTCCTCACAATATCGAAATGAAGTCACATGCAATGATTACCTCAAACCAGTCAACAGCTCAGCTTCAAACTGATTGGGAGTCAGCATTGAAGCAACAGGGACAACCTTTAAGAAGAATAGCCAGGGTGTTACAATATAGCTACAAAACAGTAAATTGCATATTTGCTTGTAACAGTCTATATATTCAAATTTCAATAGTAGCAAACAGTCAACAGCAAAAAAGGGCAGCCCGGTGCACATTCCGTTGTCATTTTGACAAGAGGCTGTTCCCAATACTTGAACCAGTGACCTCCGAGTCACACATAACAACTTAACAAAAAATCAGTCTGATATATACAGGACGATGGTTAGGTGGTTACCTTCTCACGATACACAGACACCAGTTCCAGTGGAATATATAGCTTCCCATCATCACCCATCACAGGGTCACATACTGACAAAAGAAACACAATTATAAAGAAAGCAGAGATGGACATGTATATGCAAGTTAGGATTATTTTCGTTAACACACTACATAGTGTAGGATTTCAGTACTTGTAGCTCCATAGAACAAGAAAACTTCTTCTACACAGGAAATAAAACAGAAATGAAACAAATACTTCACATGTGTGTTTCCATACCTAGGAAGAAGTGGCAGGTCCTCCCCCCCAAGGAGCTCAAGTTTAGATTTTCGATTAAATTATACGTAATAGTTATGAAAAAATTACTTACACTTACACTTAACAGGCCGCCTAGTTTTGACATATTACCAAGGAGTTAAGGAGCATATATCTTCAATTTGAATATTTACTTTTTTTTGTATTTCACAGATATTTTAGTTATCTATAAATATAATGGTAAACAGTGTACTCTCTGGAAAAAATTCATGGCACGCCACTGCATGGCCAGGATAGTATTATGCACTTACCATATGTGAGGTCAGGGTTAATTGTACGGAGCTTATCAACAACTTGCAGAACCTTTTCCAAGAATGAAATAGAACCGATATAACCTAAAACACAGATTCTCAAAATTAGTAGTTGATGTTAGCAATAGTAATCCAAAGACAGTTGCATATAATGATATAACGATAAAATAAATATTGAAGTTGAATTCATATGGAGCATGAATAACAACAGGGTTTGTGATACTACATTCAAACAAACAACAATATAGACACAAAAGCAATCTGAGGTTATGATTGTATCTCTCTCACTGCATTTTTCTTGAGTTAGACCTTACTTCCAATCTCTTGGGGCAGAATAAATGGATATAGAAGTAACAATCATGTCTTAATGAGCACTAAAGCCACCATTCTCCCATGCTATTAGTCTTCCTTAAAACTAGTTCGGTCCTATTTATCAATCAATTCTTTGAGCTTTTTGGAGATCTTTTTTATCTGTGCATTTAGGGAATTTATGAAGCATTGATTATGTTTACCCTATTTTACACTTAACTCTTTAACACTAAACACGGATCACCGATCAAATTAGGAAACATGCAATATAATTTTGTATATATTTATTTTAAAATTTAGTTTGTTCATATGGGTAATTTAGTACGATAAGTTACGATGGACTTTAAACATTTATGCAAATTTCTTAATATGTGCGATTTAGATAAAATGGGGGCAGTTCAAAGGGAAAAGTGGTCATAACTTCAGTCCATTAAGTTTTTATTTACACCTCCCCCCCCCTCCCCCGCCGCATATTGCCTAGTACTCGTAGACTTTATAAGATTCACATATGCCGCACCGGGCATTGTGGAGTAAGTAATTCCAAATATACACTAAAATTATAATGTAAATTACTGCGACTATTTGTCTGGGAGCAGATAGAACTTAATCACAACAACCAGGCTGACATGTCAGCATGTCAACAAAATCTGACCCCAGAAACTAATATCCTCAATACTATTGTGGGAAGTGGTTGAGCGAAATATGTGCAATGCAACCAATAAATAGTTACCAAGCGATAAAGTTGCACATTGAATATATATACCTGTTAATAAATGAGTGTAGTATAACAACTTATTCGCTTCAAGACCTTCAATTAAGTCCCATAGTTGTTCTCCATTCAAAACCTGACCCTTAAAAGTTGGGTACCCTGCCTTTCAGGTTGATCATAAAATGATAACAGAAGTTAGTCTTTCAGATGATTTCACACCTAAACAGAAGGGATCTTCAAAAAGGGTCACAACACATTTCAGGCATCAGACTATAATTTATAAAAGTTCATTGCCTGTGTGATTTGAAAATTGTACGGAATTGATGGGGTCCACATCATAGCCCAGCAATTGCAGAGGAAACACTGCTGACTTGTTTCCCACGTACCCCTAAACAGAGAATTGGAAAGGTTGTAAAAGGCATATTTACAACTATTTCTATTATCTTCAAGAGTATGTTTTCTTATTATATATGCAAGATCATATATACTGAGAGCTACATACAGACCAATAGATACAATAGCATATTACATTTCAATATCATTCTTGATTCACTAGCACTGAAATATAGCATCAGCCTTCTATATAAGAAATACACATGTCAAAATCTCATTACAAGTATGTTTGGCACAACTAGTTGAAAAGATAATTTTGTAGATTTTTAGTAAGTGTTAGTTTTTAGTGACTGAAAAGATCTTAAAAGAAAAAGATTGTAGCTATTCGATAAAAAACTGACAGTTTGATTTAGTTATGTTTGGTGTAACAACCTACTATGACTAAAAGCTATAGATTTCTCTCACAAACTACTCACTACTCAGTGTAGCTTCCAAAAAATGATCTTTTATTTAAAAAAAAAAAAAGAACTCTTAAAAGTTGGTGTGCCAAACATACAACTAAAAGATTTTAGAGACTTTTTAAATAGTACAAAAGCTAGAAGGTAGAGACTAGGCCTACCAAACACGCACTACATTTGCTAGAACTACACTCTTCTCAGGGGCGAATGTATGTCCAAGGGTAGGTGGGCCTTGACCCCCCAACATTTTAATTTTTTTATACCATTAGTAATTATACAAGAGGTTTTTTGGTATTTAGGGATTAAACTTCTATGTAAAAGTAGTTAAATGTTAATATACTTATTAATTATTGTCATATTGTATTACATGAAAGTGATACATAACATTATTTATGATTGATAGTTATATAATCTTAAATTTATTCATTTATTCATTTTTATTTAAATAAAAAAATTCATAATAATTTGTTTTGAGATTGAAATATACCGAGTATTAGAGGAGAAAATAGGGTGGATCTATAAATATGTGGGATATTTTTTTAATCAAATATAATAAATTAACTTTGACGTGAGATGAAATTCATCTTATATGTTGATTTGTATAATTAGACTTATTAGAGTAATATATCTACATATATGCAAATAAAATTAAAAATACTAATCGTATTTAATTTCCTTTTAATTGTGTGATGCAAAACCAGACAAAAAATGTCATTTTATAGCATTAGTTTTCCTTTCCTAAGCATTATTTAAACATGTCATAAAAGAATGATTTTGAATCGTTCTATAAAGTCTCGAAGAATTTAAATCAGCCAACCTACAATTCTAATAATGTATGTGTGTTTCTATATTTTTTGATACATTTGACTGCTTGCATTCATTTTTGGCCCCTATAATGAGATCCTGGCCCTGGCCCTGATTCTTCTTAAATTCTTAGTCTGTTTGATAGCATAAAGTAGCTTACTTTGATTATTACAATAACAATATGAAAAATAAAAAATAAAGAGGTTTTTACTTATTCAAGTTAATGGTTTTACCAACCTATTCTCCTTTCATAAAAATCAGCAAATCCGACCACTTTCCACATTTGACATAATAATCCATAAGATGTAACTAAAAGCTATTGTGCCAAAAAATTACTTTTCTAAAAACTAATTGTTTAGGCTTGGACTATAATACATCAAACCCCAAGATCAAAAGAATTCCTAATAGGAAAGGAGTACCTGAACCGTGTGAGACTGAATGCTGAGCACGCGGCCAGTTTCCGATGGGAGAGCCAAAGAAAGTACCGGTGGAAGCGCCATTCCCGTATGTGTCAGGCTTTTAATTCTGCATTTCTTAGCGGCTTCAACCCGAATTAGAACACGATCCCTATTAGTCCGTATTAACGGAAAAAATGCAATCGAAGCAAACATAAAGATCAACTCAAGTTTGTTATCCTTTGGAATGAAATGTGACTTTTTTTAATTTGAGTAGAGATCAAAGAATCAACCGTGTGGCATAAGCACATAATCTGAGATCAACAATACTCTATATATATAAAAGCTGGACCGCCTGGAATAACTGTTCCCGCCTGACCATGACGACGTCAATATGTCATCATTACGGTGTCATTAAGTTACAGCTTATTACAGGTCCTTAATTTAGAAATTTATTCATCGTTTAAATGAAATAATAGATAAAGAACGAGCCTCAACAACACCTCTAAGCTTGATCTACTCACTGCTAATAAGATAAAATAAGATACGAAGGAACAAACAAAACAAGATGAGATAAAATAAGAAGACAGTTATTAATGCTCGACTAACCTCAGGACATTTGACGAACGGCGTGGTGTAACTGCGTACGAAGAGGAGATGAAGTGAAGAGTGCAATATAGCATACGACCGTCTGGCTGAGAGTGAGAGATGAGAGATGCTAGATCGGATGAATCGAACCGGATCAACACTTAGGAATTTGGAACTTTGGACCAATTAGGATGTTTTTAGTTGGACTCTAATTTGTATGTCAAATCTCGGGTGAACTGGTCTTGTCTGAACTGGTTTGTTCTCGTTTCTTTTTATATTTGTAACTATCCAAGTCTGATCTGGTCTGAAACAAATTACAGTCCAAGTAAAAAACATCGTTAGTCTAAGAACCTGTTTGGTAGCACGAAAATCGGCTGATTTGGCTGATTCTGCTGAAATTTATGAAGTTCTGGCTGAAGTGGATGCATTAGCTGATTCTGCTGATTTAAGAAAAATTATATTTTAAAATTATTTTATTAATAAAATAAAGAAAAAATTATATTAAAAATAGCTAAAATGGTTATCTACAATAACTTCAGCTAATACAACCACAAAAGTAACTCCAACGTTACTTTTTCTTCTTATTACACAATTCAACACGTGAAAGCAAAAGTTATGTATTTGGTAAAAAGTTGGCTGATAGGTCTGATAAGCCAAAAATAGTGTTGCCAAACAGGATCTAAATTATTTTGAATCTACTTCTTCATGAGTAGAAGCAGATATTTTGGATAAAAGTGTAGAAATACTTCTGAGAGTTCCAAAATACTCCTTTAAACAGTATTTTAGAAGTTAGGGAAGATCATCTTCTGAAAAATGACGCTGAATCTATTTTTGCTTTTATAAAAGAAATACATGAGTAATTAATTCCAAATACTTCTTAAATAAATCATTTAATTTAGTAGATTTAATATGGAGTATTGCATTTTTTGTACTCATTTCATAATTGTTGAGATATTAGGCCCAAGTCCAAATGCCCAGGAGGGCAAGTCCGCATATGGGGCCCAGTTGCAGCCCACGCAAATTTAGGATCTCGCACTGCATGCCCGCATGGGATGCACTGCTCGGGTCATTCCCATCACTTGGGCTTTTCCATTCGATCCACCAATTGTCCAAGGAAAAACTTCCTCTCAAGTAATTGGCGGGGAGTGCATTTTATGTATTTAGATGTGAGGGATTTTATAGTTCCCAATGAGGGAATTATTTGTGAAACTCATCCTGGATGAAACTAGGCAATGTCGCGGTAAATGTCAATCCAGTTTCATTTTAGCAATATTTTATGGAAAATAAACACCCATTCTAGAGTTTATGTTGAAGCAAATAATATTAGCCAATATAAATGAAATCATGATCTAAAACATCTCAGTACACGGAGGGTTTAAAAACCAAACATAACAATGAGACAAATAAACACCACTTATTGTGGCAAGTGTGTAAGCAACGCAATTCTCTGGTTGCTTAACAAAAGAGAACGATAGAAATGCTACGAAAACTAGCAGCTAATTTTCTAACATTGTCTATAATCACCTCGAATTGAAAATTTTCCACTCTGGATTTTATAGTCAATGTAACATGTAAGGAACCTAATTCAAAGTCAATAGTATCACAATTTTGATCTTTGGCCCGTGTAAGAGCTTCTTGGATTCCCAACACATCGGCCTCCCTTGGTAGGCACAATCCTTTCCAAGGAGAATCTCCCCCACCAAAATATTCCCCGAGGGATCATGAACCACCCACCCCCGACAAACACCTCTCCCCTTCCAACATTGGTACGCCCACCTTTACACATATATCAATCATATATCGTGGATGAGCTAAAGGAAAAAATGACTATAGAAGGGGATGGTTAACCCTATGCTTGACAAACCGGACCGGATCCGGCGGGTCGTCCCAAAAACCGGTGAATAAGCTCTTTACCTGGTCCAAGTACCTACTCCCCATAACCATTGCCAAAATCTAAAAAAAACTGTCCGCCGCTCGAACCAAGGGTACAACCTGCACCGTTGTGAACCCAGAAGTCTTGAAAAACTCAAAATGCAGCCTATTTAAGAAAGGTTGTCTTGGATGCGAATCGAACTTGGGTGCGTGGAGTTAGCTAAAGAAGAGTAGCTCCAACACTCCTAATTACCTTGTTTTGTTTTTGGAACAAGGCGGCTTAAATTGATAATAAAACATTCAGCAGGGGACAAAAGAGATAAATGAAATACTTCCAGCCACCGACCCTCAAACCAACCTGGGAATCAATCACCCTGAACAGAGCAACATAATTCGTTGATCATGTAGTGGGTCTAAATGAGCCTAACATGGCCAGAGCAAAACCCTCATCGCCCCCACCTAATGCAAGAGTCTCACAGAAATAAGCGTACGTCACAAACAACACAACATGAAGTTCAAAGAAAAAACACAATCAAACTAAAACATAAATAGATATAGTCTTCCAAACCCTAGTCACACAATTCTTCCATGACGGCGGTTCGGGAGGGGGGCGGATCAACATCTCTTCGTCTTCTTTCACCTGTAGGAGATCACCGCCACCGGTCCTGAATCTTCCGCCCTCCTCATGAATCCCATTACCCCTTCAAAAATGTTGGTGTAAGACTCGATGAAGAAAGCATCACCCGCGACTCCTCCTCAAAGCCCACATTCCGAAGCCAAAGGAAAAACCACCATTCATGCAACAAACCCAGGGGGAAGCGGCAAAGGCAGACTGATTACAGCAATCAGTCGAAAACGCCGATTGAAGCACTATCTATCAAAAGTTCTTCAAAAATTAAAGCACTCCAACCATGTCACGCCCCGGACCTCCCCGGACACGTCAACAACCCGCCGTACAATACGAATAGTCAACCGCAGTCCAACACATTCATATTATACAAGGCGTCATGAATATCATTCACACATAAGTCATCCATAAACATACATAATAAACAATTCAATACGCAACGGAAAACATTGTTTAAAACAAAGGGCCACACAGGGCAAACATGAGCACGCAGGCTCTAAAGTAAAATATCCATGAGCATGTTTACTAATGTTCTAAAACAGGATGGAGGAAGCACGAACCAAGTCTTCTCTCCGGGGAAATCACTCGGGCAACGAGCACAGGAAGCAAGCTCTAGCCTCAACCTGAAATGGTGGTGGGACGCCCCCGAAGGGGTCAGTACTCTATATGGCTATAAAGTACTGGTGTGGCAGGCATCTAATAGATATACAACAAGTATTTCAAACACAAGACCCTCAAATAGGGTGATAGTATATTATGATTTGTAACCCTAAGTTACCCATTTGAAGAATATACTTACTTTATATAAAAGTCAAGTAGTCGGCCCGTGGGCCCATGTTCATTTGGAAATCACCATTCCCAACCCCGTGACTATAAGCCACGACAACTCCTAGAGTCCAACCCTAGTACATGACATTGTATTCTAGAGCTCGGCTCTACCACATCACCATACAATTCATATACCTCGGGTCAATTTCCTTACCTTGCGTTCTAGAGCTCGGCTCTATCACATCACCACGCAAGCCCTAGAGCTCGGCTCTAGCTATACAATACATAGACTCCAAGTCTACACCTTACATGCATTCTAGAGCTCGGCTCTATTACATCACCATGCATTAAGGTCCAATTCTCAAGCAACCCTATGCCTAGAATTGACATATCATTAAACTACCGTGGGTCATTCTTAAAGACTTCCCATAACTTAACCTTAGTTCCATACTAAGTTATTATATACACTTGAACTATATTCAAGTACCTTTCATACAATCCAATCCCTAGGATCAATTTAATCAACAAGTTCCAATAATCACTAACTAGTATTTCAATACTATTAAGATTATTGTTATCATACCATTATCCTCATTATTTGTAATTCTCTACATATTTATAATTATGTAGCAGCAACTTAAGTATTCAATCTCAATACACAAATATTCATTTATGTATCCACATAATTCATACATGAGCAAAATGCCCATTTTCACAAAATAGTTCATTTATACTCATTTAATCTCATATTACTCATACCTTCTCAAATCATTTCAAATTTCATTCTTTGGCAACTATATCAATATTTCATCAATATATAATCATCATAATCCATGAAAAATCATGATTTAAGCATTTAGGTAATCTCATGCTTAACCTACAAGTTGTAAGCAATTAGATGTCAATCCTCACCTCAATTGAGCTTTAAACTTTCCCTTCTTGGTCCAATGGTCAAAGCTTTGGTCAAGGTGGATTTGGAACTAATTCCTTGCTCAAATATGAGTGTTAAACAGCCTCCTCAAAGTGCTAGTTCAACCCTTAATCGTTGATACGAAAACAGTCCCTAGAATGGGTGTTTTCCGATTAACTCGTTTCCTAGTTTTCCAAGATTTGCTCTAGGTTAGTATCCAACCTTTACACACATAAAATAACTTTATAAGGACATATTATACACTTGAATTAGTGTATAATAGTCCCACCAATCGTTCATATCATTTGGAGAATGAAAAGTAAAGTTTTGGGGTTAAAACTCACTTTAGAAGATTAAATCCTCTCCTGCGAGGTTGTGTTTTGCTCGGACGGTTTGGAAGCCTTCCACTACTCCAATTTATGCAAACCAGACCTTCACGGATTCCTCGTCTTGAGATCTTTCTTTTGGTATATCATACGCCTTATTTGGACGAGTGAAGCTCAAGTTATGGGTCAAACAAGTAGCCCTATCTTCTGGAAAACGAGTCCTGCGGCCAGCTTCTCTCTTCACCTCTCCCTTGGAGTATGTGGCTCTCTCTTTCTCTCTTATCTTGGGAGTTCGAATGGGGTGTAGGGGGAGTGTATTAGGAGGCCTCAATCATGCTAAGAGAGCATGTGGTTCACAAAAAGAAGGGTAGGGTATTTGATTGCAATCAAACATGGTGTGGACCTCCTCTTTTATTTCCTTTTTGTAATGTTGTAGTTCATGAGTCAAAGGTCCGCCCCACATAGTTGTTTCACCCATTTTCCTTTGTCTTGCAGGTACCAAGGTCATGTGGGATGGTTCCCAAATGATCCCATTCAATTTGGGGTCCAAAATATCTATCAATACTTCCAAAAATGAAAAGATGGGTTCTATTGTTTTATCTTTTGTCAAAGATGTCTTTTTGTACTCATCCTAACTTATTTAGAACAAGTCAACTTCCTACATCACATTATTGATCTCCAATATGTGTAGGCTCATCTCAATAATTTACATGATGAAAATTACA